ACTCGGACATGCCACGTGTTACAGGCTGACGACATCGGCGAGCGCGAGCTCCGTGCTGACGCGCCTTGAAACATCGCAACCGGCTGGCTTATCGGGTGTCTGCATACCCAACATCATACTTTAAGTCGCCTCGCGATGTGCTGACGTGAAAGGATTCCCCTGCCATTTCCCACTAAGACGGACCCGTGCGTGCCGAACTGAGAGCGCATACGCGACCTCGGGGAGGGCAGCATCGTCGCCCCCCCCCCCCCCCCCTCCTTTCTTCAACCGGCTCCGCCTGAGCCCGCATCAATCGCGTCTGCCATGGAGCCGGTATGCTTGTGACCAGTGCCAGTCCCGGTCGTCCAGGAGCACAGGAGCACCTCCGACCACCGTTCCCACGCCAACAACGCCGTCAGCTTGTGGCGAGTGCTGACCAATGCGGTGACGCGCTCTGCTTTGGCCGGCTCACGCCGGGCGCGAGCTTGGCGACAGAGAGCGACCGGTCAGCGCCAGTAAGCTGCGTTCAGGGGCCGGGCCGGGTGGCCAGAGCAGCGACCCACTCGGCCGCCGCGCGGCGCCAGGGCGTCGCTTCACAACCGAGCCGGAGGCCCGCACCTGCCTCCACCGCCGCCGGCCGCGCCCGGCTCTCAACAGCCGTCCCTATCTGGCCGCATACTCGAGAAACCACTGCGCCTGGCGAAATTGCCCCACAGTTTGCATCTATTACGCTACCGGGCCCACTTGCCGACTGGCACCGCTATAAAAATGCGCCAGCCTCGCCGCGGTTCGGCGCCGGCGGCGGGCACCGCCTGCAGCCCGCGCCGGGAATGCCGCGGCGCGCGTCAATTACGCCCGGCAGGCCGTGCCCGGGCGCAGGACGCCGGCATGCGAGGCGGAGCGAGCGCCCCAGGAGAGGGCCGGCGGCGGCCAGCTCCGCAGAAGACAGCGCTGCTGCCGGCGCCGCCCGACCCGGCCGGCGCCGTTCTCCAGCCGACAGCGGACTCGCCAACACGTCCCGGCAGCCCCGCGCCACGGGCTGTCAACAGCGACCGCGCCCACCGGTAAAAACTAGCCGCCGCCGTGTCAGGGGCGGCAGACCAGGCCACCAGCTCGGAGGTCGGCGCAGGCTTCCCCTTACCCCCGCCCCGCCAATGGCCCACATCCTAACAGGCGCGCCCGTCGCAAGCAGTGGGGGAGACGCGGACGTGGCTGAAACGCCCCATCCTGGAACGGCGAGCAGCCACGACCGACACGCTTGGGAGCGAAGCTGCACCGCATGAGGCGTGCTTGGAATCAAGCCCCTGGAAAATGGGGCGGTCTCCCGTCTCGGAACTGAGCATCAGATACCGCGCCATCAGAACAGACCAGGTCAGGCGGACAGCGCAGCGGTGTCCGCTGATAACCTCCGCGCAGCAGAGCAGAGCAGCAACGCCGACGACAGAGCGTGATGACCAGCAAAGAATCGTTCCTTACATACAACCGTACTTTCTTCTCTCCGCCACAATGTTGACAACATGCGAATCCACATTGTCAGAAACGTCGAGCTCTGACTTCAGTCGCATGGAGAGATCGCCACTGACAACGGCACGCCTCCTTTGCCGTGCAAAAGACGCATCACCCGGCTTCTGTGGCCAACGCGGCCGGCCCACAGGCTAGTCACGTGCAGGACAGCGCGAACGGTGCCATAGCCTGTCCATTGACCCCATAGCCCTGCGGTCAACCGTGACAGTGCGGTTGACCCCAGGGCTAAGCAGCCCTCTTGGCTCCGCCCAAAACTGGTTACCTCCTTTGCATCATTTATGCCTTCTGTCTAAGACATCAATCTTCCACATGTTGAGGAGGAAGGAGGCCATACTGCAACTATATTTGATGTGAACCTTGCTCATGCATAGCATTATTTTGGTTGGTCCAAAGGCAGCAACTCTGTTAAGGAGCACTGCATGTCATCTCAAGCTGGGGGTCTATGCACATTTTTGGTTATTTCTGTCCAGCCAAGGTCCATAATAGCAATGTTAACTTTTCATGAAGAGGGAGGTGGTCATTTAGGGTTGCCACTGAGTCCAAACCATGGAAAAAGTAGGATCATTGCTGTCTTGGGGGAACACAAAACTGCTGGACACCATTGCCTCCTCCCACCCACCTCCCCCCCCCCCCCCCACCCCCCAATTTTCAGACTTATGCTTTAAAGCTTTATGTTCTTACCATGGTGCACAAGATGGCAAACAGATCATGCCCTGAGGCTGAAATGTGTTACAATGTGTGCTACAGTGCTTTAACAGTTTAAGTTTGTTGGCCGCATTGCAATGCAAGCTTAAGCACTGTTATCTGGGTTTATCTCATGTTATCTGGTTAATTTTAAATCTGGGTTGCCAAAACCGAGAAAATCAACAGAAACACCACATGATGCAGCAATCCTATGGCCATTAAAAATGCATCATTATGACTTTATTACAATATCCCAAAATAATAGTCTTCAAGTATTTTCAATAACTTGAAAATACTTAAATGTCATATTGAGCCACCAACAGTACAGCACTTATCCCTTAAGTTGTACATCAACCATTTATATCACAAAATTCTACACTGTGGTTTTGCTTTTAGTTCTGCATTTATATATTTATAAACCATAATATCCTGTATGGGTGAAATATGTGGATGATGACTAGCATGCATGTACTTAACAAATGAATATAGAAAGCAATCCTGTAGAACTCAAGGAATAATTCTCAAACATTCCTGTTAAACTATTTCATTTTCACTCTTAGGAGGAAACATTTTTGGTTCCAAAGAATTTTTTGTTTTTGTTCTATGTAATATGACAAGAACACTGGTCAACTACACACTAGAATACAGAAATACTGCTGTCAACATTTGTAAAATTATTTTTTGATGCATAGTGGATCAATGCAAATAATGCCTTACCAATAATTCACCATATGGTCAATAACTAAAACTATACTTAATACAAGCGCAGGGTATAAATTGTCACAGATAATTTTATCCACAGTAAACAAATGAGCATGCAACTGTATATTTTATGTAATAACTGAAGGATCAAAATCAGCTGAGAACATATCAATTCATGTGTTATTCATTTGCCTGTTAATACATGGTATCTTACAAAAAACAATTAAGAGGAATACAAAATTGGTTTGTAGGTGCATGATTCCCCTTTGGTTATGCTGCACAAAAGGCACAAATATATATATACATCCCACAAACAAAGCAGCCTGATTATTGAAACAAACATACTGCATAATTATCAGAAGATACTAATACAAATAATTATCTAGAATGACCACATAATAAAATCTTAAGAGTTGCATTTGGCCATTTCAAAAAGTCAGCATAACAATAATAATAATAAAGAAGGACACCAGGAAATTTCTAATAACTATGCTGTCAAAATAGTAACTAAGAATGTAATAGGTCCATTAACAGACACAAGGGCCACACATTTCTAGCATAACACACAAATGATGACATAGTGCCATTCAGGCTTTACAAGGCATTAAGCTGCTAATGCTATACAGTGACACCTGATTCACACACCAGCAAGGACATGTAGAAAAAAGAATCAGCACTTGTACTTCTGGTCACCCAGACAACCAGCTTAACCACCATTCTACCAGTACCTTTAAATGATGACAACTCAGCATGCTAAATACACCAGCATTCCATCAAGATGTTTCTTACCTTTCCATGCTGTGCTCCATGTGATGTTCTTCTAAGATACCTGTCTTAAAAAATGGTTCATAGCAGGGCATACAAAAAGGATAATGATGACATAAACATAAAGGACACTTGCAAGGGATCACAGAAAATGACTTTGTGAAGCTGGATATTCAGGAATGGTCAGAAAGGATATAATAGCTAGCAGTTATGACCCCAATGCTGGCAGTATCTCACTCTAACCCATCTGCAAAGATGACATCACATTTTACAGCATGCATTTGAAAAAAGCATGTGGTGTCAGACTGAAGTTACTCAACCCTTTTGAATTGTAAGAACTCCATACATTTACAGATGTGCTATAATTTCAAGAACTGTGCTTATTTTACAGCAACTTTCAGCTATTTTCACAAGCTTGCATATTTGTTATGCAGCATTAAGATGATGTTTCAGCAGTGCATGAGGATGACATGTCACCTGGTGGATGTGGTACAGATCAGCAGAGATGGATGGATATGTACCCAGGTAGGTACCTATCTTCTTATGTGGGTTGATAAGTTTCAGGGACAGAGCCGTGGACAGGACTCCAGTGATCGAACAATGGGTACAAAAAGCCCACGGGACCAGACGGAAACGTTGAAGTAGGTACAAGGAAAAGTTTAGTTTATGTTCGCGGGGCAGCCATCCAAAAACGGATTGGACAGCTGTGAACCCAACAGCAGCTAAGTAACATAGGCCTGTATCAGACTTTCCACTTCCTTGCCACCGGAACAAGCTGGCTGCACAGCAAACACCAGCAAACGCGGCACCGTGCCCCCAGCAGGGACAGGACGGATTTTTATGATTGAGTACCCTGGGCACGCTCCAGCAAACGGTTTGGTTGCATATGCTGGAAAGCCGCCTGTGAGTTACGTCAAGTCTTCTTCTTGGACGGGCTTGTGTAGATATGAAAATGAGCAATGACGTCATCAATTCCGATATCGCACACCATACTGTCCACACATTTGTAGAAATCGCGCCACTGTGTGTCTCATTTGCGGCAGGATAGACCTTGCCAATGCCAAAGTATCAAGGACTAAATCTTGTGAGATATAATTTGCTGTTGTTCATATATCTAGAAACATTTTCCATATTTTTCGCGGCTGCATATTGCATTACTGCAGACTTTCTTTAACTGTGACATTAAAAAGTGCAAACTGACAATGGCTTTCATTTTAGTATAGCATGTTTTGGTATAGAAAGAAAAGGTTACAAATATTTCATTGATTACGTATCTTTAAAAGGCAGTCGAGCTTTTCTCACTATCTGTTGAACAAATTGATATTTTAGGGGAGCTTGCGAACAAAATACTTATCGTCCGAAAAACTCATTGCTTTTCCAAAAGTGATGTTATTCCACCGAGTGGGAAATGCGTCTGCTGCGCTAGTATTGTATTTTCGGAAATTTTGTGTTTCCATGATTTTGCGGTTGTATTCTCTGGAATGCCTGGGAAAATTGGATAGTTGGGAACGATAAGAGACCAAGGGGAGTGAGGTAAGCTCTATGCGAATACTATGGACGTATATTGCACGTCCACTTGTTAGTGCATATGCTATTGCGCTACCGAAACCTGCACTGAGTTGTCTTAAGTTCGTGAACCCATGCGTCTACCCATGCAACATTTTTTTGCAGACATTTTAGACGTATGGACATTGGTGCTATTCTGGGTTCAAACAGCTGATATAGTAACATACATGTTTTGACATAAGCAGCATTAAACATTGTGCTTGCTGCCCAGATTGAAAAAATACACTACAGCCTGAAGAACATGCCTATTGCTGCAGCAACATGAAGGCAATAAATTCAGTGCATATTCACCATGAATACATGAACCCACAGTTTGGAGTGCTGTCACAACCAAATTCAGAGCTTAGACTGCTGATGTCTCTATTAACTGTAATAGCACATACTTTTCAGCAAACATACTCTGAGAATTTTTGTTCTCTGCAAGCTAATTTTCAAAATCCAGCACAACCTGGTCTGGCCTGAGATAGGCACTTACTAACATGATGTTTAGCTCATCAATGTCCTGCTGGTATCCTCTGCAATGGATGAATTTCTTGGCAGACTTGCCCTCAACCTTTGTGCAACTCGTAAGTGGATTTGCCCTAATAATGGCTTTGTTTTGTTCATTAAAATTGGGTGTTCTGTGATCATTTCTTAAGGTCATGGTTATCATACATGGGATGTCACAAGTTTTAAGCATTTATCAGGATATGATGCACGTCAATATGGTAAGAGGCCACCAGATCAGGCTGTGCCAACATCCTATGGCTAATTTTGATGCTTTCCTTCATGCTTAGTTTCCATGTGCAGAAAGCTTTTTGGTAAAGGTAGGGCTTTTATATTTCTGAGCCATCACTCACATCCAGTGCGTTGCCTTCATTTCTGAGAGCTGCATGTGTTTAAGGCTTAGTGTTGAAAGATAGTCATTAACAGGGGTACATTCTCTTAACCAGAATTACAGATAGGGTTTCAGGATGATATTATGTTGTTAGCTGGAAAACCTGTAGCTTTCAAGGTTTTTTTAGTACTGGTAATCTGCCATCAGTGGCCTGGCAAGGGTCTTAGCACATTGCATGTATCTGTAACAGCAAACTGACATTGGGGATAACTGGAGTGGTAGGTATGACAATATAGTGAACAACAGTTGGACCTGTTGGAACCTCGGCCCATTGCTGTGACCTTAAAAGGAAGGCCAGCGGTATCAGTATTGTTCTCTATGGTCTTCTCTTTTATCAATATCTGCCCTTAATTTCCAGGCTAGAACTGAGCCAAAGAACTGATAAATTAATTGTCCTTATGTGGATATAAAACGGATGCATGTTGTAATGGTGCTCACTGATTCTATTCATATATAAAGAAATGGTAAACTTTACTTTTATGCATTTCTTCCCCACCACCATTGTCAACAAAATGACCTCTCACAAACCCGATCAATTTTAGAATCATTGGCCTTTAGAACCCCATCCAGTATCTAGGCTGGCAAAGGCAAGCACAGTTTGATGGGGAAGAGGATCAGTCATTTCACTGAAGCAGCTGTTAGGCTGGGATGCTTACTTTTGTCTAAGTTGTAGAGTGCAAAGGCTTTCAAACGGTTAGTGAAAAATGTTTTTAATGTCTTTAATAATTGGGTGGGATGTTTGGTCTTCAGTAGAACTCACATGGCCTCTTTGCATGAACAATTGTTGCCATAGAACATTCAAATATGTTTCAATTTGAGCAGAGGCTAAAATTGGGATGAACATAAGGGTTATGAACAAGCTCAGATAGGATATACCTGCAGCTCTAAATAATTGCAGTAACTACCATTTTTCTTGGGTACAGTTAGGAGCACAAAATTGTTGTGTACCATTTAGCAGCAGGTGCCAGCTTTTGCAACACTTCTGATTTATTGAACCCTTAGTGCAGCAGATCAAGAGCATGCATGGCATCCATTGACCCACCTGTTTATGGTGTTTTTCATAATCATTCTCAGATCTTGGCAGGCAGAATACATGTGAATTTGACTTCAACTTTTTGGTGTAAACAAGTGTACTTCATACCTGTTGTCATGTGGCCAATTTAATGTTGTCCAACCCTTAGTAACAACAGGGACACTTAAGTATGTTTGTCAGGGCCCAGAAATCATTACATGTGGGCTTTTATTTGGTGTCAAGCGCAAGATGCATACAGCAAGATATATAGCCATGAAGAGCATGTAGTTCCAATGCAATGTGGCCAGTATTCATCCATAATGGTATTTTTGAAATACTTTAGTCACAGTGTTGATAGACTTAGAATGAATTTTCTGATTTTGTTTGTTTGAAATGGATTGGCTTCATTATTTGCAGATGTTAGTCATAACATAGGCATTAAGCCTTGCTTTGTTCTTTTTGTATTTGCCTACCATCTGTGATTATGTGCCACAGATTGGCAATGATGCCTGGAGTGAACAGCCATGATTTTCAGGCACACAGACACATAAGATATACTGGTCTTTAGTGACAGAAGGGTGATTCTGTAGGATTTTTGCTCTGAGAGCGATTTTGTGAGATGTATAATGTCCAAGTTTGAAGGTGCCTGCAGGCAGGATGTTTTGCCAGATATGGTATTCCTGCAATCTGATAATATGAGATGTTGCTACCACGACATCATTACACAGAAACATAAAGTCTTCTTATTTCGAGAAAGGCTCGCTCCGTGACCGGAGGCTGGTCTCGGGTATCGGCTCCGCTGCGCGAGAGACCTGCGCAGTTTGACGCAGGGGAGGGCCGATAATGGTGTTTGCATAACTGTGAGTGGATGCGTGCGGTCGGTCACGAGCGCTCGAAGACAAACCATGGATCGGTAGCTCTCTGAGCATTTTATCGATTTGCCATATCTCAGCAGCCAGAGAAGACGAAGGTCTGAAACTGATAGCCCTTACCGTGTATGGGCTGTGCTCCAAATATTGTGATCTGGCAAATAATATGCGTGAATGTTGGTCACCATGCGCTGAACCATGCACCTGTGTTGCTATCATGTCCCATTATCCCCCGATGTAGGGCACACGTGTTGTATTGGAGGCCGGTTTTGGAAAGCGTCACATTACAGCTTCCTGGTCTCTTACTGGGGCGCCTGTGGTCCGGGTGGTATTGAGGTTACCCCGCGATTTGTGTACGGAACATTTGCTTGCGCCATGCAGTCGGCTTCGCGAGTTGGTCTGTTCTTCTTGCCGAGATCTGACACCTGTCCCTGAAAACGTCCAGCAGCGAGCTGAGTCGTGGACGTTGCTCGAGGGCGTGTGACAGGCTGCACAAACCGCCTCAATTTGCCACTGCCATCGCGTGGTCCCGGTTTACTCAAGATTATTGGTCTCATATCGTCGTGGAGTCAGTTTTAGCCAGTTTGCCAGGAGCCAGTTTGGAGAGGTTTTAGCTCGGTTGTGACATTTGTGGAACAGCTTTTTCACAATAAGCATACTTTACGTTTTCCATGTTGATTGCATGGAGCATGTTAAATGCGTTTTAGCTTGTAATGTCTTATGAATGTCACGCCCGGTCCAGCAGCTTGCATGCAGGCGTCTTTAAGGATGCACACCATAAGCTTTACAAAATCGTGCTTCTTTTCGCTGGGAGCTATGAAACTGCGATCAGTGCTTGTTAAGATATGAGCCTCCGAAATCGTGACGGCTGGGGCCGGTCTGGCACGTGCCGCTCAACTTGAGCACTGTATCGCCGTCCAAGCGAGCCTCGCTCGTCACGAGCACGCCCGCGGCCGTGCGCCCGTGTACGCTCGTGCCATTGGCCGGGGGTCCCACCGGCATTCGTGGAACACGTCGTGAAGCAGGTGACGTGATAGCAAGACGGCACCACTTTGGCATTCCTGAAGGGGGGGGGGGGGGGGCAGATTTTCCTCGGCTGGTCGCAAAGCAGGTGCCTCCGGTAGTACATCCGGGCTTAGGCAAACCAGGTGTTGGTGGTACGTGCTAGGGCGCTGAGCAGGTGGCGGCGGCGGACTCCGGGGCGGTGCTGCGTCACACCACTGTCCGTGGACCGCGGCTAAATCAACTAGCCCGAGGTGGCATCGTTGTGCGTCACCTGGCAACGGAAGTAGTTAAGCGGGCACTAACCCGCCGTGGCATGCGCTATACGAAATGGCGACTTGGTGGGCGGTGGAACCCGGCGCTCAGTCCACCGAACCACTGGAAACCTCTGGCTGGTCGGTGTGGTCGTATTCGTCGGACTCTCGCGAGCGTAACAGCGGCATCAAAACTAGCCCATCTCGGGTTGACGCGGGGGTGTCTGCATTGTCGCGCAAGGTGTTGACAGATGGTGGCCCTGCCGCTAACCTGGCGTGTGTCGCAGCGGCGCGCTGTGTGACGTCACTGGTGCTGCCATGGCCGGCGGCATCCTGTCCTCCAGCATGGACGATCTGCTGCCGAGCTCGGTGGACGAGCTGTGCCGTAACCCGCTGCTCTGCCCGCTGTGTAACCAGGTGAGAGGCGACGGCGATCCGCCACGCCGTCCGTGCCGGTGCCAGTGCCGGTCGGCCGGCCCGACGGCCGCCCACCCACGGCTGTGCTCTGATTGCGAGCATGGCTTGTGCAGCTGCCGTGGTCAGCAGCATTGCAGCCATGTGTGCCTGCTGTGTTATCGACGGTCGCAGTGTGCCATGCCGATTCTAACGAGGGAAATGGAAGGTGGTAGCAGTGGGTTATGTATGGGTCGCACCGCGAACATTTTCGTGGTGAGGTAGACATTTTGTGATGGAGGCACTGCGTCATGATCCGCGTTAAGGAGCGTAGAAGTCTTGAGCGGTCGCTGTGCGTGTGTCGCTGCGCAGCTGACTGCCCCGTCCGACACCATTGACAGGTGTACGACGAACCGTGCCTGCTGGTGTGTTTTCACTCGTTCTGCGCCAAGTGTTTGCGGGTGCGTGTGGTGGACGGACGGCTGAGCTGCACCATCTGCAGGTGAGTCCCGGCCCCGGCCCCGGCCCCGGCCCCGGCCCCGGCCCCGGCCCCGGCCCCGGCCCCGGCCCCGGCCCCGGCCCCGGCCCCGGCCCCGGCCCCGGCCCCGGCCCCGGCCCCGGCCCCGGCCCCGGCCCCGGCCCCGGCCCCGGCTCCGGCCCCGGCCCCGGCCCCGGCTCCGGCCTCCGGCTCCGGCTCCGGCTCCGGCTCCGGCTCCGGCTCCGGCTCCGGCCCCGGCCCCGGCCCCGGCCCCGGCCCCGGCCCCGGCCCCGGCCAGCAGCCCTTATCCCGTCGTCGGCAGCCGAACCGCACGGCGTCGACCGCCTGCTGGGTGAATCACCGCCCGCAGTCCCTTTGTCCTCACCTGAGTCAACACTCAACCCTGCGGCCGGCACCACCTGTGCTCAGTCGAATACGACGAACGACGGGAGTGACCAGCCGTGCCAGGACCCGCTGCCCGGGGCGTGGCCCGCTGCCCGGGGTATTACCCGCTGCCTGGGGTATGACCCGCTGCCTGGGGTATGACCCGCTGCCTGGGGCATGACCCGCTGCCCGGGGCGTGACCCGCTGCCTAGGGTATGACCCGCTGCCTGGGATATGACCCGCTGCCCGGGACGTGACCCGCTGCCCGGGACGTGACCCGCTGCCCGGGGCGTGACCCGCTGCCTGCGGTGCGGCGTCTGGCCTGGTCTGACCCGCACGGGCTGGCTGCGGCTGTCGATCGGCGCCGCGGCCGCCTGGTCAGCCAGCCCGCGGGTCCGAGCGCAGCCGGGCCCCGCGCGGCCGCCTGGTCAGCCAGCCCGCCGGTCCGAGCGCGGCCGGGCCTCGCGCGGCCGCCTTTGACGCCGCGCTGCCGGCCCGACCTGCCGCAGTAAGACGACGGGTGCTGAAGGACGGCAACAGCTTGCCGCCGGCTGACGTGCTGCTCCGCTTCCTGGTCGAGTTCTCCACCGAGGCGCGCACGCCCTGCGCCAACTGCGAGACCACCGAGAATATCAGCATGTTCTTCTGCAACACCTGCGGTACGGCATCGCCGCTCTCGTAATGCCAAGCTTGCTTTCGGCTTCGTCGCTGATGAGATCAAAACCGGTTTCAGCACGAACGAAAACGATTGCAGGGGCTGTGCAATAGAGCGATCACGGCACGTTCGTTGACAAACAGGATGGGTGAATTACTTTGGACGAGTATTGGGCCCGTTGGGCTAAGGCCCAAGTGATGTCGTTGAGTCCTTTTGAACTTTTTTGCATTTTTGGTTTGCGAGACAAGTTAGCGGAAATAATGTGGGCGAGACTCGCCTCAGATGGATGATAAACAGAAGATGGGGGCTGGTTACACCTGTCTTGTATCCATATGGAAGTGGCGGTCCCCAGCTGGCCCGGTGGTCATCGTGTACCGCCCAGTGGCGCGAGGAGATGCCGAGCTGCTGCCGCCCTCCGCCGTGGCCGCCTCGCGCAGTCCACCCCGGCATGGCCGGCGGCCGGTCTGCCAGCCACGCCCGGGTACTGGTGGCGCGCGGCGCGCGGTCAGCGCGCTCGTGGCCCGTGGTGGGGGCCAGCTGCGGCCGCTGCTGCAGCCACCGCTGAATGGCCGGGTGGAGCGGACCGATCTGTCGGTGATTGGTGCCGCTTATGGCGCCCCCCACCCAGACACACGCTATAGCCGGCGTCAATAGGCCGTGGCGAAGTAATTTCCCGAATGTGCAAAAAAAAAGTGCCGTTGCTGAATATGTCCAACAGTGCGCAGCTTCCTACCGACCTTCTCCAGCCCTGCTCCCTCACTACCGTGCCTAGTTATTCGGCTATATATATATATATATATATATATATATATATATATATATATATATATATATATATGCCCGGGTAGCGGGCGGTGCCGTGCTCGGCTGACTGTCTCTGCCGCCCACCGCTCCAGGCCAGGCGCTGTGTGAGCGCTGCAAGAACGAGACGCACCGCGCCAAGATGTTCTCCATGCACGAGGTTATGACGCTGTCGGAGCGACTGCGCAAGGCCTGCAAGCAGGTGAGCGGCCGCACCCGGCTCCGAGGCTCCGCCCCGTCGCCAGCGACGCCGCCGTCGCCCGCCAGAGAGCGCTGCCGTCCGGCACCGTAGCGCCCACGCGAATCTGTGCACGTGCAGTGGCGTTTGGACCCAGTGGTCTCGTCGTCCGGTATGCCTCTGTGAATGCATAGTGACTGGTGGTATCGGGGCCGTCTGAACGCTACAAAGGCCGTCGTGCACCTGTTCCCCTCGTGCCGAGGCTGCGGCATGATTCACGGCCACACGGCCCTGTCCGCTGATCTCAAGGTCGCAACGGTGTACCGCTGCAGCAGCTGAGGCGTGCCGGTGTCTTGTATGTCGGCCGGTCGTTGACGTCCGCGATGGTGGCGCCGTTGGCCGCAGTGTGCGGTGCACAACGAGCCCCACATCATGTTCAGCACGGACAAGAAGGAGCTGCTCTGCATCAAACTGCTTCCGCGAGTACAGCGCCGAGTCCAAGCTGCACTGCGTCGACCTGGACACGGCCTACTCGGACAGCGTTGCGCCGTCTGGAGCGGACCGTGGTGGTGGGTAGAGCGCGCCCGCCCGGACCCGGGGACTGGGCCTGAGCCGGGGCCACACCCTGTCCCCTGAGCTGAACTGCGCGCTGCGGACCGAGGTCCGGGTGAGCTGATTGCAGACAAAGTCGCAAATGGGCATAGGTCGTTTGTAGCATGAATGAGTACGTATGTTAACAAGTTGCTGTGCAGATGATGGATGGTGTCAACTCGGCTCTGCTGATCGGCTCAGCTCGCATTGATGTACCGCTCATGTTCCGTGGCCTCCCAGCTGACGTTACAACGGCATTGATGAGCAGCGCCTTGAATAATGCTAACAAGCTGTCCGTGTCTGAAGGACGTAATCAATATTGTGGGGTGTACGGGGACAAAGTGTCAGCGAGTTGTGTCTGTCAAGAGGGCACACGTGGGCTGCAGAACGCGATGAGGTGCAGCGCCATCCTGGGCCAGCCCGTGTGTTCGTGGCCTGAGTACCTGCGAGCTGCAGAACTCGGTACACGGTCCGACATCGCCCGGTACGGGCGCGTGTGTGTCCGTGCCCAGAGTATCTGCAAGCTGCAGAACTCTGTATTGGGTCCGACACCACCTGCTGTGGGCGGGTGTGTGTTCGTGCCCAGAGTATCCGCGAGCTGCAGAACTTGTACAAGGGTCCGAACACGGTCCGACAGCACCGGGTATGGGCGTGTGTGTGTCCGTACCCAGAGTATTCCCGAATTGTAGACTCGGTGCGCGGGCCAACATCACCTGCTGTGGGCGGGTGTGCGTCCGTGCCCAGGGTATCCCAAGCTACAGAGCTCGGTACACAGTCCGAACACGGTCCGGCATCACCCGGCATGGGCGCGTGTGTGTCCGTACCCAGAGTATCCGCGAGCTGCAGAACTCGGTGCGGGACGGCATCATCTTGTACCGGGCGCTGCTGGACGAGGTGCGCCACAACATGGAGGCCGAGAAGACGGCCGTCGCCACGTTCTGCCGCCAGCTGCACGAGACCGTCAGCCAGCTGCAGGAGCGGCTGCTGGCCGATGTCGAGGGGTACGCGGCGGCCGGCGCGCCGCCCTCCGCCGCCGTCTCCTCAGCATGCCCCGCCGTGCGCCGGTGGCGAGCCAGACGAATGTGCCGGCGCCGTGCTGCTCTCGTGTTAGGCCTGTGTTGGGAGCTTCGTGCGTGGCGCGGTGGAACGGCAACCCAGGCTCTGGCCTCCCGTTGTTACGTTTGTCTTTGGAATCTTAGCTTGGTTCGCTTTCATGTGCCAACATGTTATCTTTGGCGCGGTTCAGTGTGTTCACGCGATTGACTGGTCTTTTGTCTGATGCCAACAGCGACCTGCATGAAGATGCCTGTGCACTGTGTAGTTGGCGTTTAGTAGGCCGAGTTAAGTGGAACGCCTGCTTTGTTTTCTTTCCGTGTTGGTCCATGCTGCCATGATCTTGTTTTCGTTTACCTGGCCAGCTTTCATCAGCATCTGAGTTATGTTCCCTGACTGAAGCACTTCAGTTGTTTTTGCGTTCATCTTGTGAGCATGTCCTCCACACTGCATTGTGACTTTTGCGCAACTGAACTTGTTGATATGAAGTTTTTACAAACTGTTTATTTTGTTAGGCAGGTTTTGTGGAGCTCTTTGATGTTGCTCTTTGCTCTTTGAAGAGCTTCTATTTCCTTCTTTTTTGCGCTGTTACATCGTCGGCTTGTAAAAACCCGATAAAGTGAGCTTTCATTGAGATCGTGTTTAAATGCATTACCAACGCTGCTCGGATGGCCTGGCTTGTGCCGGTGGATGCGCCGCGTTGTTTGAACGCATTTGCTTCACTTCTGGCTCTACCTGCCGTGTTTTTCGTACCCAGTTGCTGTTTGTCGCCTGATTCCTTTGGCTGCTGTGTAAGCATAGACTGCGGTCAGAGAATAAGCTTTCCGTCACACTGTGCATGTGTTTCATGCATTCTGCGCGGCATTGTTTGTGTTATTTTCCGGGCTTTTTGCCATCGTGTTGTGATGCCTGGCTGCGACCCGCTACTTCCCGAATACATCGCACCAGCGCTGCTACGGCAACTGTAGGAGAGCTCCACATCGTCTGTCCGCCGCTTCTGCTGATCTGTTCGCCCGCTGGCTGTCGTTTGTATCATGGTTAGCCAGGGTCTGTGATGGACTTCCCGTTGCTGCCATTTGGGAACGCTTTTGCGTGCGCTGACGCCCGATGGCAGTGAGGCGCGTATGGTCCGACCGAGCCCCGTTCTCCCGCGTGGGATTGCGGGCGCTCTGGTGCGACGCCACCGCTGCCGCGCCGTCGGCCGGCGCCGGGCTGGTGTGCTGCCGCGGACCGGCGGCCGGCGCCGACTACCCGTGTCCCCCGGGCTGGCCGGCGCTGACCCGGCGCCGCCGTCGCCGCAGGCAGTACACGCAGAAGACGTCCACCTTCCAGCAGCAGCTGTGTGACCTGTGCGCCCTGCTGCCCGTGCTGCACGTGCACCTCAGCATGTGCACCACCTTCACGCACTCGGCGAACAAGACCGAGTTCCTGGACCTCAGCTACTCGCTGATGGCCCGGCTCTCGGACATCGCTCACATCGGCGTGCCGCTCAGGTCAGTATGCCCCAGCTGAGAGCTCGGGTCACATGGATGCCTGACAGCTTGGGGTCAGATGGGTCAGCTGACAACTCGGATCAGGTGATCAGCTGATAGCTCGGATCAGGTAGTCAGCTGGCAGCTCGGGTCAGATGTTCAGCTGACGGCTCGGCTCAGGTGGTCAGGTGGTCAGCTGATAGCTGCGGTCTGGTGATTAGCTTGGGTCAGCCATGGCTCGTGGCAGCAGCAGCAGCTGAGATCTACTGGGTCTTCTGCGCCCAGCCAGCGAGGTCAGGGTGGATCTGTTCTCGAAATGAACCGGGCATAATTCGCTCTCGTCCTCAAATCAGTGGCTTGTTATTTACGTGCGCGACCAGGACAATTACAAGCTGAATGCATTTGCAAGTTGAGGAAGCTCGGTGCAAATAAGACTGCATGGATGACGTCATGTTGTCTGGTCGCTGGATGCTGTGAGACTGACATGGTGATCCGCCCGCCGTTGCCAACGTCCCCCTGTGGCCGCGCCGCCGGGCAGGCCGAGCCAGACGAGCCAGGTGAAGACCAACTACCGGCGCGAGGTGTACCAGGCGCTGGACCCGCTGCTGTGCCCCGGCGGCGGCCGCCACGCCCGAGCCGGGCGGTCGGCTGCTGCCGGTGGCGCCGCGGCGCGCTCACACCGCCAACCGGCTGCGCCTGCTCGAGTCGAGCGGCCCGTTCGCCGACCACTGCCGCGCCATCGAGACGCGCCTCCAGAGATCACGGCCCGCTAACCGGCAGCTGCGCGAGATGTCGCCCGACCGCGCTGAGGTCGCGTGCCAGGTGAGGCGGCCGTGGCCGCCGCTGCCGCCGCCGCCGGCATCAGCAGCCGGCGGGAGTGCGTTGTTCCCGCCACCTCCCCGGAGGAGAAAATCCAACGACGACCGCTGCGGCTGGGCCGCTGGAGTGGGTCGAATGATGTGCTAGAAATGTTATGGTAAGGTGAACTTAGGGCGGGTCAGGATGGGGTAAAGAGAAGGTTACTTGATGAAATAGCACCAATTGAATTAATTGCTTTCGCAGTCTGGTGGCAAACAAAGAGACCAAAACATGTCCCATGTCATCGCTGCAGTGTAGTCATGGAGACCATGCAGACCATGTCATGCAGGCCACGTCACAAAGATTTGGAATGATCCCACGCGCATGATAAGAACTCAAATGCGTAACAAAGTGAGGTGAACAAAACTCAATTTCCCGTTTTGTGCGGTAGCATCCGAACGGTGACGGTACCCCGGAAAAGTCCGGCCGTAAGCTGGCACCGATCATCGCCAATGTTGGTGAACTGACAGGCGGCAAACGTCCTGCCACTGTCGCGGTGGGCGTCCCCTGTCCGCTGGCCACCCGCCGCGGCTCTGGTCGCGCGCCGGCCGGGTGCGCTGTGCGGCCCGGGTCCGTGACCATGTCCGTGACCACGTCGGCGCGGCCAGTGGTGGACGGCGACATCGTGTCGCTGGCCTGCCGAGGTGGAGGAAGCGCGCCTCCGGCTGCAGCACCGCTGGGACGAGGTCAACACGCGCCTGCAGATGGAGCGCGACGTGTTCTCGGCCCAGGTAAAGGCCTGACGCCCGCCTGTCGCCGCGGCTCGGCTCCGTCCCGGCCCCGGTCCCGGTCCCGGTCCCGGTCCCGGCCCGGCCCCGGTCCCGGTCCCGTCCCAGGTCCCGGGCCGGTCCCGCGGTCCACCGGTCCCGGTCCCGGTCCCGGTCCCGGCGCAGACAAGTCGAGGGCGGACAAACCACGCTCCAGCGACATGTGGCCTGCCGTGCGCGTGCCCGGATTGGTTTCGTCCCGGTTTCAGCCACGTGTGACTGCGTCGAATCGTTTGGTTCCTTGCACAGCTGTCACTGAAAGTCAGCAGACCATGGTTATTTGTATGTGCGTGTGTGTGGTTGTGTGTGTGCGTGCGCGCATGCGCGTGCGTGATGAACGTCGTGTTATGTTGTATGTTACCCGGTCGGTGGTCGGCTGTCTGAGGGTACGCCGCTGACCGGGTGTGGCGCTCGCTCCGGCCAGGTGTGTGACCTGCAGCAGCTGCGCGCCGACCTGAACCGCTTCACAATCGCCATCAAGCAGCAGACGTGCGAGCGGCCCTCCTCCTGCGACCCACTCACCAAACTCGCACTCCAGCGGCGCCGGCAAGAAGCAGAGGTGGGGCCCGCTCGTCGCCTGATCCGGGTAACGGGGGGGGAGCGAATAAATGCAGGGGAGCAGAGGATGGCCTGGGGGGGGGGGGGGGGGGAGCGGGCCCGTCTGGTGGCCGGCCAGGGACGCTCTCTTCCTGGATTGTTACGGCTTGCCATTCTGTCGTGAAACTGTCAGTATGACTCACGTATAGGACTGGAATTTCATGGGTCGTGAAGCGAAGCTGTGGTAAGGGGTTGACGCCGGTCGCTGACCTGTGGGTTACACATGGCGTGCCGGTGACGTGTGGAAGGCGTGGTGATGATAAAGCTTTGAGCTGTCAATACCCCGGCCAGTTTTGGGGATACCTGGCCGGTTTTTACCTGGTGTTCTTGTGTGAGGGCATATCCGTAAGGCGTTTCACAGTTTGATTGGGAAAATGGAAACGCAGCGGCGTAATTGTTTCCGCGTCGTAAGCGTTGAATCACAGACACTGCTGTGGAAAGGGTCGGCGGTGTCGCCAATGTCCGTCTCCAGTCAAAGTCTCGCCCGCACACGACACCCATGCTTAAGCCCGGTGCTGTGCGGCTCCGGGCGTCTCGCGCAGTGGCGTGCAGGCCCCCGCGCGCGCCCGCCTGTCCAGCACAGTCGCCGGCGTGACCGGGGCGCCGCGCCGGCAGGCCGGAGGTGCCGCCGCGGGTCGACTCGCTGCCCGGCCAGCCGCCGCCGGGGGCTGCGGCCGGACGAGCCGCCGCCGGCCAAGCCGGGTGTCCGAGCCGCTCTGGCACATGCAAGGTGGCGCGGACGGTCGGCCGAGCGCCGGCCGGCCGCCGGACGCGGTGACACAGGGCGCCGCGGCCGCCGAGCCCGGCCGGCCCGCGGCCCGGCCGATCGCCGGCCGCGCCTCGGGTAGACTCGGCGGCATGCTCGGCACGCGCCGGTAGTGGCGCCCGGACCGGCGCCGGGCGCGCGCCCCGCGCCGCCGCGCCGGGCCCGGCTACAAACTGGATGTCGCCGTGATGGGGCGTGCCTCGTTCGGTGTCCGTTGCTTGACAATAAAGTGTTGGCTTCTCGCGGTGGAATGTTTGTGTGGCATGGCCGGACCGCCGGCACTCGACGCAGCACGCCGGCGAGTGCTCAGCGAAGATCGCTCACCGACGTGAGCAAGCTGACCGTGTAATGCATCCAACTAACTAAGACATTGCGGCATCGAGTCAACGGTATGTTCTCACTGGTCCGGGCGCTATATGTCGCATAGTGCAGCTCCTTGGTCGTCCCGCCAACCCCTAGACGTTCAGTAGACATCGAGGGTGTCCCTAAAAATGTCGAAGTGAAACGGCACGGGGACCGGTGCGTGTGGTGCGAGGCTGTTATGTCGTGTGTTGTGTGTCTGGCTCGGCATGCGTGGTGGCCAAGTGTCCAGACCCAGAAGCTCAGACTCCAGTCCGGACTGACAGACCTAACAGAGCGCGGCAGCGTCGGATGTCGCCGCGCCGTACCAGGTCGATCGAGCGGCCGCGTGTGACCATGGCCGGCCGCTGTCTCCCTCCGCGGCTCGGCGCAGCTGTACCGCGCGCGTCGCCGCAGCGCCGTCGGAGCCGCCGCGTCCGTACACCGTGTGCCCTCTGTCGGCAGCCGCTGCAGACGGCGTCCGCGCGGCCGGCCGCGGGGCGGCGCCGCCGGCGGCCGCGCGCCGCGAGCCGGCCGGCGGCGAGGCGCAGCGCGGCGTGATGACCCAGCTGCGCGAGGCGGTGCGCCGCGGCCGCGAGCGCAGCGAGGAGCGCTGGCGCGAGCTCTCGCCGCGCCGCCAGTGGCGCGACCGCTCCGAGGAACGCTGGCGCAGTGACGACGAAGGTCTGATGGAGCGCGAGCGACGCATGGTGCCCAAGCTGACGTGGTCGAGCCGCGGCGACGGCCCGCCGATGGCCGCCAGCACGCACGAGCAGAGCGACTGGCGGGCCAGCGCCAGCTGGCCGCGCCGCAAGGCACCCGTGCTGACGCCCATCTCGCCGCGCGAGGTCAACACGGACTACAGCGCCGGCTCCATCACCAGCATCGACTCGCACCCGTCCGAGGGCGCGTCCCACCCGTCCGGTTTCACCAGCATCGACTCCGCCCTGGACCGCACCGTCGAGCAGGTCAATCACCGGCATCGAGAAGTCGGCGCAGCGCGCGCGCGGCCGCGAGCGCGCGCCGCGCCGCGTCACCGGCGAGCAGGTCTGCAAGTTTGGCCGCTTCACGGTGGCCAAGGTGTCGCGCGACTCGAGCGGCCAGGACAAGGCGATCAAGATCTCGGGCCGCGTGAGCGAGGTGCGCGGGTGGCGCGCTGTCGACCGAGCGCCGACTCTTCCGGCGCTCGCGGCCCAAGCCGCGCTCGCGCGACGACGCCTGCGACAACAGCTCGCCGACCGACGACGAGCGCCGACACGCCTACTCCGACTCCGAGTCCAAGGCGTCGCGGCGCGCGCGGCGCGGGCCGGTCATGCGCCGCCAGAAGTCGGCCGACGAGTGCGACGGCGCGGCGGCCGGCCGGGGCCGCGGCCGCGCGCTGCTGGCCGCCGACGGCGCCGTCCACCGCGCCGACAGCTTTGAGGGCCACGAGGAGACGGTCAAGACGATCGTGGCGGCCGTGCAGGAGTCGCGCACCTCGCGGCGGCGCAAAGAAGTGATGGTTCTGCGCCGAGTTCGTCCTCTCCAGCCCGCGCGCGGCGCGGCGGCCCGGCCGGCGGCCGGCCTCCGTGCCGCGCCGCTGAGGCGGGGCGACGGCGAATCTCGGCGGCCAGGAGCCCCACTGAGGCGGCCGGGCCGGCGCCTGGCCGCGGCTGTCCCGCCGCCGCCGGCCGGCACGACTCGGCGCTCCCAATACCCTCCACTGAGGCCCGGCGGCGACGGCCAGTCGCCACTGCGGCACCCCTGACCACGCCAGGGCGACACTAGGCGGCCAGCCTTCCGGGCGGCCGGACAGTTTCAGCATTTATCTGCCAAGTTCTCTCCAAGACCCGATGGTGGGCCGCACTGAGGCCGAGCGTGGAGCGCGCTGGTTTGCCGCTACGCCCCGCCCAGGCGGGGTCACCACCGGCCCAGGAGGACCGGCGGAAGCTTGCGTGGGTCCCGCGCCATCCTGCTCACCTACTTGTAGTGACTTCTAGTACAATGTGGCGCGCCAGCTCGGTCGCGCGGAGCCCACCGACCAGCCTGAGGGCGACCCCACCCGGAGGCCGTCTCATCGCGCCGATGTCTTCACAGGGTATTTCTGATCGTTGCTCTTCTGCCCCTGTTGCTGTCTTTATGAGTGGCTGCCGGGCCGGTGCGTGGCGCCGCCAGTTTTCTCTCACGTTCTCGTTGTAGTGGAGTACCTGCATGGACGCGTGACCGGACTGCGTGCTGGAGCGGCTTCTGTGGACGCTCTGAGCCGTGTGGTGCTTGCGGTGTGACTACGCGTAAGTTGGGAGCGTGTCCGAGCCCAGGTGATGTACCCGACCCTACCTGGCCAGGAGTTGCCTCTTGTGGCAAGACCTGGGCTGGCTAGCTGCTGGGGGAGTCATCGCTAGGAGCCACCTCTGGTCCGTGCGCCTGCAGCTAGAGCGGGGACTGGTGTTGACCGTGACCACATCGAGGAGCGAGCGGCGCGCGCGTGACCATGAGGCGTCGGAGCCGCTCGCTGAGTCC